AATATGTTGATATTAAATTAGCATGATGATACATGATCATTATTGGTCCAGTGCAATCAGTGAGTGAAATTTGCTTCAATAGTTGTCTCCTTGGGAAGAATAGATGGAGAATTATTGGTTGAAGAAAGGGAAACAAAAAAAAAAAAAAATCAGAAGCAGAATTTAAAAAACTTATTTTGTTTGCTTTAGATGATTAAGTTATAAATTATGATATGATTATGCCCAACACCTAACATTCAAGAGATTCCAGACACTACTTGTCTTCTTTAGCCCTTTTTAAGTAAAATCCTAACTAATAGAAATGGTGGCTTTCAGCTGATCAGATTTTTTTTTTTTTGAAGTATAAAATTCTATTAATTAGTTATAAATAAAATGCAAAATTAGTTGCAAATTATAATATTTCTCTCTCGTTTGGATAATTATCTTGATTTTGTTTGTCTAATACTTTCTTACTGTTTTCTTATTAATTTTCAGTTTGTGATAACTTCTTTCTTGTTTTCTAAAACGGCTTTTTAATACAAAAATTTCTAATTTGCAAAATTTTTATACTAAAAAATTGTTTAAAAAAACAGCAAAAAAGCTGTCCCAAATGAAGCCTAAGTTACTTTATCTTTAACAATGTTAAAATCAACTTTATAAAAAGCTATAGTTGTCTCAAAATAATCTGAAAAACACATTGCACCGCGATAGATTGCAATTGATGAAAGCAGCTAATATGCACATACAGTATATTTGAAATTTATTTTAAGGCTTAGAGCCCAAAGTTTAGTTAACTGATCATTTAAATTGCTTTGCTTTCATTCAAGCAAAGAAGCTCAAAATTCTGAAGAAAATTTTTTTAAAAAATTTTGTGTGCCTGCTGGAGATAAGAACAAGGGAAGGAGTTTGTCCAAATTTGATTCTTTTGTTCTATATTTAAATAGAGGGATAGGGCAAAAGTTACATTGTTTATCCAAAAGCAAGAGAATCAAATCACAAACCTTGTGAGGGTGGCAAAAAGACAAACCTTGATGCCTCTTCCTCCTCCTGCAAGTACTAGACTTGCTCTTGTTTCCCACCAACATGACCACAATATTAATTTGAAAGCTTAACAGTGGATGCCATACAGTCTTGCTTAGCATTGGGAAGGGAAGTTTCTTGTAGCTCTCATTATTGGAAATTTAGCTTTAGCCGTGCTCTTTATTAAAGTATATAACTAAAGCTTTTAATCACGTTAATAATAGGAATAATCTATCTACTAATGCAACAAAAAGTTAAAAGTGTAGCTAGAGTTGCTTTTAAGCGCTGGCTTTTCTAAAGTATTATTAAAGTTCAAATTGCAACATATGTTAGCTTTCTACATCATTTTTATAGCACAAATTTTTTGAAAGCAGCAAAAAAAAATTGCCAAAAGCTATTTCAAAAGAAGTATTAATATCACAAAACGATCAATTTATGTCTTACAATTTTGATAGTAAATATACAATTTTGGGAACGGGGTATCCACCCACTGCCACCTCCGAAATGACGCTTTGCGGTGTGAATAATCCTAGGCTGGCCTAGAAGAGACACCTACTCCATAAACATTATGACCTGCAATTGATTGAACCCCACTTAAGAGATGCTACCGCTCGAGGGGAATTGAGCACAGGTTTGGGATTCCCAACCGTACTTGCCCATCAACCAAGCAAAGCAACGATGGGTATAGTAAACATTTTCATTACTTTATACTTTGCCTATGAAAAATAATATATGCAGAGGAATTTTGAATTCACAATATTCCTAGATTAGTTAAAAAGAAAAGTCTTAATATTTTTCTATTTAATCTTTAATTCTAAAGCAATTTATTATTAGTATTGTATTATTTACAAATCAAAAAAATGTTAAGATTATAATAATTCTATTTCAAATAAAACATTAACGCATATTAATCTCAGTTTTTTTTAAAGAAGAGAGAATATAGCTCCAAATTCCAGTAAGATTTTCTCCTGAAGCAAGGAGAATCCCTGCTTTTCTTTTGGCGAGTGAATTGTAAACAACATAGCAATGTAGCACCAATTTCCGAGATCATTAGGACATAACCAATAAAAATTTCACATCTTTTGAGATTAAGCTATGATAGGATGGGATTAAAGTTGTGGTTTGGTATTAATTAAGTAACATGATTACCAAGGGTTAGATCAGTAGAGATTTTTTTAATAATCTCAAAGGTAATTATGTCAAGAGATGGATCACATGGTCTCTTGGCATGCTTGCTCTTATTTTATGCAAGGAAGATCACATACTGAATAGGAGTGAGAAAGTAAGCCTCTCCTTAGCCACATGGTTCAAGCAGACCATCAAAAACATATGGAAGGCAGGACACATCCACATCTCTCTCTCTCTCTCTCTCTCTCTCTCTCTCTCTCTCTCTCTCTCTCTCTCAAGCATATATCACTCAACCATTAAAAAATAAAACTATTAGTTGATCTAAAGGCACGTAGAAGAAGGCGCGCAAAGGAGGGGTATTATGCTAAATTATTTATTGATATATCATCAAAAAAATATCTTGATCGGGCACGAATCTCAAAACAAATCAAGTTGGAAACTTCAAAAATTAAATCGGAAATCATATGAACTCTGATTTCAGCAACTTACAGTAGAAATGAAGGTCTCGAAAATACAAACCCAACAACACCAAATTCAACCCAATCCGAGCTCAAATAGGTCCAAATCAAAGACCCAAAGTGCATTTGGAAGGTTCAATCCATAATTTGGGTTACTAAACAATCTCCAAATGTGACATGCTTATAATCAAATCGAGAGGCTCGACGAGACGAATCCAACGAGCCCAATATCGTCAAATTCTGACATCGTTAAGACATTCAAATGTCCAGTAAGCAGTCTACAATCAAGGAATTCAATATTGATCGTTCATTCAAACCACTCCCAATTTATCCTTGATTTCCCCCTTTTTTAAAGGCCATGCCACTCTTAGAAAACTATAAATAAACCCCCTCATTTCTTATGAGGGGGGACCCCAAGCAAGAAGAGAAGAGAAACAAGCAAGGAAACAAGAAGAAAGAAAACTCTCTTGCCATCAAAATCCTCCTCGACCACCGCCAGACTTCCACCAGACATCAGAACGATGTCGTAGCACTACCAGACTTTCAACTAACGCCAAAGTTCTGCCCGGACGCCGACAGATGACAGAGTTTTGCCCAACAGCCGACTAACGCCGGATTTCAATCCTACCGTCAATTGAAGCCGGATTTCTGCATGACCACCAAACATTGCCGAATTTTTTATCTCTGTTTGTAACTAGATTTCAACCCGACTGTTGATTATTGCAATCTGATCGTCCTCAATTTTGGGGACGAGTCAGTCACTTGTAATCAATTCAAACACTCGTGGAATCGTTTTCAATTTTGCATGGCCCCATGATTTTTCCCTTATTCGAGGTTTTCCACATAAAAATATTGGTGTTTTGTATCTTCTATTTGTGTGCTAAATATCTGTACAACGCTGAGATGAAAAATTCTAATTGTATTGTGGTGTATATTTCAGCCCGCAACACCTATGTATAAATAGGTAGCAGAATACATACAATGGCTCGTCTTCTTTAATATTGTTGTATTACACATAATAATTACTCAACTACTAATTAGTGTGGCAATGAAAGAAAGCTGTGCTGTCATTTGAAGAAAATCCAAAAACAAAAAATGAGCCAAGAAGCAGTAACACATGCATGCTGTGTAAGTACAGCAAACAGCCAAAGCAGTATTGGAAAAGCAGCAGCAGTTTCTTCCATATGCTTAGAAGATGTGGTGTGACACCTCGCTTTTATGTTTTTTCCTTCTCAAAAGAGGAACAGCTAGATGACCAGTATTTATCTTTAATCAATTCTTTTATTTGTTTCTTATTAGGGTGAAATGAGGCTGAAGATTTGCAGCATATTTTACAGGATTTTCAGAGAAAATCAGAACTCATTTGCAGAAAAACTCAAGCAGGAAGCCAGATTACAAGTCATTTTCCCTGTGCAATGATGGTTAATAAGTTTTTTTTTTGTGACGAGGAACTGTCTGCTGCCACGCCTGATTTTTTCCAAGCACGCTTGGCGGTTCGTAAACCCAGTCGACCTACCGGGCCACCCATGCCACAGTACCCGCAGCCGGCGCTTTGGGACCCTTACTTAAGGGGCGACTGCCGCTCAAAGGAATCGAACTCGGGATGTGCCGGGGTTCCCAACCGAGCACGCCCACCAACCAAACTAAGCATAGGTGAATATGATTAATAAGTAACTCGAGTGGGCAGAACCTATAAAAACAACAGAATGATTCCATCACATATTCACATGACTGTAACAAAGTTTGAAGGCAGTGTGGGGCCAAAATAATTTCCCTGCATCGTTTGGGCTAATTATGTTATCAAGACCATCAATTTTCCGCAATATAACAACAAGCAGACCACGACAAAGCTCCAAAAAATAAGTGCAGACATCGATGATCATATGAGGGAGAAAGGACGAGCTGGCCGCCAAGCTGTGGGGGCCGGCACTCCCAACCAAACAAACTCTGAGATGCATCAATCAAAAATATGGAGCAATTTGTTCTGTCTTGGATAGTTGGATGATCTCTACGATGTATTTTACCTCTTTTCTTCCCTTTGCAGGACTTTTGATTTTTTTTTCTTCATTTCTCTTCTTTTTTTCTTACACTATGAGCTCAATTAAATTTTCTTCTTTTAAGTAATAAAATGGAGTAAATGTATCCGTCAACTTCCTCAAAAAAAGAGCTTTTTCAGTATTATGGATGCAAAATGTGGCGTGGCTGCACCTGATTCGTTTTTGGATGATAAGTTGTGTCTGGTGTTTGCACAAAATAGTGTTGAATGATATTTTCGTAGATTTTGGTTCAAAATAATTTGATATATATTTATAGTTTTTTTATAATGAAACCTCCTTCCACTTTTCTGTCTACTGTACTATAAAAATTAGAGGAGAGAGAGAGATGGAAGAGCTGGCAGTCACAGATGGATATGGATGATCATTGATGAGAGATAATAATTTAACTAACTTAAATCCAACGTACAAAGAGTGACAACAGTTAACATGTTGGTTCTAGTGTGTTGTTTGTTTGGGGTTAGCAGAAAACTGTGTAACAGACGACAGACATGATCGTTGGCTAGCTAGCTAGTAGCAACAGAGTAATTAGCTAGCTAGCTGTCACACTATATATATATATAGAATGCCAGTTTAAGCGATTGAGCTTTGCTGGGTCCCATGATGGCCGGAAATGCCGAGGCCGTCGGTGGAGGAAGACAGCCTGAGGGGACGGAAGAGTATGGGCGCACCGTACTGTGGGTAGAGCAGCATAAGCACTGTGGGGGCGTGGACGTAAGCAGGAGATGGGCGGAAGCTGAAGCGTTGCAGAATGAGAGCCAGTGTAAGCCTGGCTTCAAGCAGAGCTAAGTTCTGCCCAATACACATTCGGGACCCCATCCCGAATGGAATAAAGGCTGTTGGGTGTCGGGCCGCCCGACCCACCCCGTCTGCGAACCGGCCCGGGTTGAATTGGGCCGCATCTGAGCCCCACAAACCCCTGTCGTGGTGCACCGCCATGATTGGGATCAACAGCTCTGTTCCTTGTGGGATGTTTAATCCGCCGATCTCCACGTCGGCTTTTGCTCGACGGATTGTTGCCACTGCGGGCGGATAAAGCCTCATTGTCTCGTTCAAGATCATACCAAGCTGCAGTTTTTCTTTACTCGTTAAATGGCTGAAATTTAAAAGAGAGAGAGAGAGAGAGAGAAAATTATGAGGAGATACCGTTTTGAGTTTGGACAGCTGTTCGCGGGAGGGGATGTCACGTGAGCCGCACACCTGGAGGACCTCATGGCGGGCAAGCTCCTGCCATTCCGGATGCATGCCGAGAAGCACCGTCGTCCAGGTCAGCAAGTTAGTTGTGGTCTGCTTACCCGCGAAGAAGAAAGTTTTGCACTCTTCTACGATATCCCTCACTGAGATGGGAGCTACGGTGGCAGGGTTTCCGGAACGCCGGGAGCCGCCGCCTGCGTTAATCATGAGTCCAAGAAGGTCCTTTTGCTTCTCCTCGATGGAGAAGGCGGACTCCTTCCGACGCACTCCGATCAAGCGCTCTAGATTCCGACGAATCTCTATGTCCAGCTTCCACGAGCTCGTGTTCTTCTTCGTCGGCAGAAATCTGTGATTCAAAATTTCGTAATACGATTTCAGTGCTGGAATTGAAAATACGAGGTTTGCTTTGAAAGGTAGTAATGCTCTTCACACTCGCCGGAGCTTTGGAAGGCTTGACCCGCCAACGTCCATGTCTGACTTTTGATGTTGGACATTCAATCATGGTGAGTGAAATCTTTGTTCCTCCGATCAATTAAAATCACTTATTTTAATTAAACAAAAACTTTCGCTATCGATCTGGTCGATCGGAAAGCTTTCCTTGATTGACCAACATCCTTTCTTATGTCATGCCATCATAGCTCCAGCGAGAACGCAGAATTAGCTCAATGTGGCAAGGGCGAAAACGGGCGAAGCTCTCGTCAGGCAAATTTCAAAATGAGATTTTACCTGTAGCCGGGAACAAGGATCATGCGAAAGGCCTCCGCGGCGAAGATCATTTGCTGAGCTTGAAGACGAAATACCGCCTTGCCGTCGTCGTAGCTCCGGCCAAACGCCGTGCGAGTAATAGCGTCCTCCGTCACCCCCTGAAACCAATCCGCTACATCAATCTCCACTTCACCCCGGACCGTCGCCGATGACGTCGCCGCCCATTTATCCACCATATCAATCACCGTCTTCCCGATCATCGGAATCAACAACTGATCAACCAAAAAGTCAACTAATTTAAGTAAGGAAACAACAAAAAATTGCATCTTTGGCAGGAAAGGGGCTTACTTTGAGATTATCCATGTGGAATGTGGGTGTGAGAACCTTGCGATGGTGCGCCCACTTCTCACCCCTGAGGCTGACGAGTCCATCGCCTTCAAGCTTCCGTACTAACGGGTGCGACTCGTATCTGTCGAAGAACTCGGCTCGAGAGACGAAAATCTCGCGGATGAGATCAGGGTTGGCGACGGCCAGTCGAGCAGTGGGACCGAACCAGAGTAGAAAGGTGGAGCCTTACGGTACCAAGAAAGCAGAGAAGCATCCATCAGGGAAAATGGCTTGAAATGAAATGAACGGAATAGAGAGAGAGAGAGAGTGAGAGAGAGAGGACCATCACCAATCACAAAAACCACCAATCACTAGTCACTAGCCAGCAACATTGATATTGAATTGAAGCTAGAAATGGGACATATGTCGATATTAGAGGCAAAGAGGAGAGGTGTGGGGCTGTTGGCTATGAGACAGAGTGGATTCATGTCTTTCAGAGGAAAGGGAGAGGCAGTAGCAAAACGGGGACAAGGAAAACGAAAGCTAACTACTGCAAACAACCCACCACTGTAAAAATTAATGTACAAAGCACTAGAAAAATGGAAGCAGGGGAACAAGGAGAAAGAAGCAAAAGAACCTAAGAAGAATGATTAAAAATTACAACTTTAAACAGGGAGAAAGAAGAAATGCTTCAAGAACCATACCATAGATCTTTTTCCAGTGATGGTAGAAGGAGAGGACTCTAGGAAGAATGTTGTGTGAGCTCTGAGGTGACATTGGCGTCGACGAAGCTTCGAGCATCAAACCAACAATTTCCCTCAGATTTCCAACGAAGAAACGGTAAGGTGGGCCTCTTATGCCCTGCTTGGCGAAGTGCTGCTCTATCCTCTTCGGCTTCCACCATAAGATGAGGAGAAGCTTAAATGAGGCTGCTATGAGCACGATTGCTATTAACACTGCGGCTGTGGAAAATGGAAGCAACCATCTCCATGGAAAACACCACAGCTTCGTCACCATCTCTGATCCTCTATGGTTTATTTGCTTCTCCTGTGTGCTTCGCTTTTCTTTTCTTCCAGAATAACTGTTGAGAGCTCTGTTTGTCTTCTCTTATACAACTTCTCTTGCCACTATTGCTGTTAGTAATTATGTCTGTAGTAGAATAACAACTAACTCTTGCTTCTTTTGGCTTCCACTGTTCTTTTTGTTGCAGTATGTGAGGTGGGATGCAAAAAACAGAAACAAAAGAGAGAGAGAGAGAGAGAGAGAGAGAGAGAAGAGAGAGAGAGGATTTTATAGGAATGGAATGGTAGTAAACAGGGCGGGCGCCGTTGTGGAAGGAAGTCGTCGCCTTTGGAAGGGTCGATGAGAAGAAGACATGAGGAGTTGGGAAGATATTGAATCACCAAAATACCCTTAGGCGGTTGAATGTAAAAAAATATAAATGAGCAATAAATCATAAAAATATGCTAATCAAATTCATACTATTTTAAAAAAAATATATTTTTTCAGTGATTAATTGGAGAGATTATTACTGAAGAAGCTTTTCGGGGTGTCCGGAATTCATTCATGTGAATACATATGTATTTTATCTATTTTGTACATATCATGTATAAAAAAAAAAAATCCACCGATGCTTAACTTATTTTGGTGGACGAGTCCGGTTGGGGCCCAACCCAACCCGTGCTCAAATCTCCTCGAGCAATAGCGCCTCTAAAGTGCGGCTAGGAGATTTCTGATGTGGGCGACTCTTCTTGATTAGTCAAGACATTAGTTAAGTCGTCATGCGTCTTTTAAGGTACGTGGTGGCTACGGGACAGCGAGTAGATACCCCTGGTCCCTGCAAATGTGTTTGAATTCAACTTTTAGTGATAAAGTTAAAAAATTTATAAACTAATTAATTATAATAAAAATAATATTTATTATAACTATTTTAAAAATATTAATGCTAATTCATATTAACTTTATTACATTTTCCTTATTTCTATCTGACATTTAACAGCATTGAATGCTTTTTTTACCTCTTTTTGTTTATAAATAAAAATCGGGCATATGGATTGGGCAATCAGACTAAGAGAGCAGACACAAAGGAAGAATAATTATTTGATATTTTTCCTTCTTTATTACATTTAATTTAATTCAGTAGGCTGAATTTTTTTTTTTTTTTTAAGTGGATGATGGCGACTTCATAAATAATAAAAGACAAAAGCAATTAAGGGAGAGCCTAACAGAAGAAGAATAAAGACGGCCAGTTGTGATGATTTTTGTTCAGAGTGCTAGACCCATATAAAGTAAAATCATCACATTTTTTTCTCTGAGCTTAATCTTTTTGCTTCTCTGCTTCAATTTTCTTTTTTAGTCTATTTTGTAAATGAAAGCATTTAAAGCTCGAAGAGTTTTGCCAATCCATTGAGTTGTACAGCTCAACACCTTAACAGCTTTGATGCAACCAATCCGAAATTCCTTAAATATGGAGACCAGCGGCTGAACAAGGTGAAGACATGTCTGGCCATCAGCCTATGGAGCAAAGCATTCATGTCTAATTTTTTTAATGCTAGTTATAAATGATGAATTATGTGATTTGTATTTGTAATTTTGAAGAAAAAAATATTTTTTTTTTCTAATTATTTGATAAGAATCCTTTCACAATTATGGATGTAAAATAATTATGAATTTATTGATATTATTTTTGTTTTTTAAAAATGGAAGGGAAGTTTTTAGAAGATTTTATGTGAGAGGGGTTTTTAAGTAGAGCATTTATAATTATTTTATTTATATATTTCATATTTATAATTTACTATATACATAATATAATATTCTAATAATTTTCTTAATTAAGAAGAGTGAGAAAGTTGTGAGAGGAAGAGGTAGCGAGGAAGAGATGAGGAAGTTGTGATAAGATAAGATTTCGTTGGGGAAGGACATATATATGATTGACGGCGTGATAGGGGTGAAGAAGAGATGAAAGAAGTGGAGTTGGAAACTTGCTGAAGATGGGTGCTAAGTTTGTCAACCATTGAAAAATGATGAGGGGTTTGGAAGGAAGTAAAGAGGGTGAGGAGCGTGTTATTTCATTATCATATTTATAGAATTAAGTACTATGTAAGTGAATAGTAAATTTTAAATGTAAAATTTGCTAATATAATTGTTGCGGGCTACTATATTCGCGGCGATAGAGTGAGAGAATTTTATCATAGTATCATAATAGTAATAACAACCAACTATTAGTTAACTACATATTCATAATCATTTTCAATCATTACAGTAAAAAAAATATAATTTTGCTTAATTTAGAAACTGTCAAATTGTTATGACGGGAGATAATTGAAAAAAAAAATTAAAATTATCAAATTAATAGAGATCGAATATAATAATATTTTGAAGCTTTAATTAAATTAAATCACTATTTTTAGAAGTTAAAATAAATTTATGAATTAATTAAAATTACTTTTTTTTTAAATCAACTTGAAAAAAATCTCAAATAAATACTAAAAATATTCATAATCTCAATCTTTATAATATATAAAAAGTTATGTGGTCAAAGTTTTACCAATATAAAATTATTCTCATTTTTTGTAATAAAATATAAATTTGATCAAAAAAATCCAAAAAAAACATCAAATAATTGAAATAAAAAATAGCATAATGGTTCATTACATTAAGACAGCAAGTTTTCCAATAGGGCCTACGAATGAAAATTACCCTACAGCCTCTAAACTCAAGCTTCTCTTTTATCTCTAAATTTCTCTAATTTCCTCGTTGGGCTCTCTGTTAAACGAAATGAGAGAAATGGATTAACTTAATTTGTTTTAATGCTTTAAGATATTTATAATAAACTAATAATATAATTATATAATTTAATCAATATTAAATATAAAATTCATATAAATCTTTTCGAGCTTAAGAAATTATAGAAAAATATTCATAAAATAGCCCATTTTATTTAAAAAATTATGGTGAAATCGATTTGCAAAACGGACATTTGCCAGTTCTAAAATCCTCACTTGTACCAACAAATATCAATTTTTTTAATCACACTAGTGTTCAAAAATTTTGAAAAAAAAGTGTAATTAAATCACTATAATACAATATCTATATTATGATGAAGACAGTTTGTGATTTGAACTTATAATGACTATTAAAAAATCATTTAATATTATCAAAATACGGTCTATCACATCAGATACCTGCTTCCTTTTGGTTCAAAATGTGTGAATATATTGAAGGCAAAATGTCTATGTTTTGGTGCAACCATGAGTAGCAGAAGAAGAAGGTTATAATAGAAATCGTGCAAGCAAGATAGCAGCCTGGCTATTTTGATGGACTTGTTAATAAGTGTGGGAAATGATCTATTAGTGGGTTGTAAAATGTAAGATCTTCTGGCATAGGTATTTGGTATGACCATTTATGATTTCTGAGATTGATGTTGTGGGCTTCATCCAATAGATTTGAAAGGGTTATAGAATTGAAGGGGTTAATGGTAGTATCTAAGATTGAAATTGAATAATATGGGAATTTTTCTTTGTGAAATATTATGTCACAATATATAACGCCTTGTTTGTTGTAAACCATACAATTTGCATCCCTTTATCATCCCTTTATTCCTCGTAAAAATCTCATAAAGACACATGCATGAGTTCTATGTTGGAACTTTATTATTTGTGCAAAATAAGATGTAGTCCAACTTAAGTTAGAGGAGGAAAACTCAAGTAAATATTGAGTAATCATCAATTAGGGTTAGAAAGAACTTGCATTATGATGCAATACCGGATAACTTGGCATACCGGCGGCACATCCTATACGCCTCAACAAACCGCACAGTCCCACTATCTTATTTGTTATTTCTGTTAGTAGTTACTTTTGCATCCTTTTTCCCTTTTACTAAAATAGCATTTAGAAAATACCTGGAGATACTTATAGGAGTACATATGAGAGACAACACAGTTATCTCCCTTTTTTACAAAAAGTAATACAAACACCAGAATACAGAGGTATTCTTCTACCCATATCCCCTATTTTTGCTTGCTGTCACTTGTGTTTTCTCTTCCAGGTAAAACCGATCCTGCAGAAGGACTTCACATTAGTTGTGATGAGTAATATGATAAGGCTCATAAATATTACAATGAATTAAGTCAAAAGCCGATTTAGTCATACTGTCATAACCCAACCAAATAAGACCCCAAAATGAAACATATTCCATTGTGTTGGCTTGCAACAGGCCAACCCAAGTTTAGAGTTTCGAGAAACTCTTTTATTTTTTTTTTTCTTCCAATTGAAATTAAAACAAATAACATAGTACATAGATGTTAATAACTGCTAATATATACAAAATAACTCAATCAGAAAATTTCTTTTCATTTTTCATCAAAAGGTACTAAATGCATGATTACATACTAAACTATAGAACAAAGTAATTTAAATGACTAGTTACGTCTATATAAAAATCAGAAAAGAAATATCTATATAAACTCAAACAGATCAGATCATAACTCAGCTACTCAACTGGCCGGCTCAGTCCCTTTATCAGACCTTGAAAAAGAATACAAATAAATTGTGAGCTAATACAGCTCAACAGCTCACAGTTATTGATCTAAATTTCTAATGGGACAATGGAAGGAAGTAGCTCTTGCTATTAGAAGTTGAATGGTAGAAAATTTTATGTATTAGTATAATCAATGTCAAACTCTTATTTAAAGCCTTATGCCACAAGTCTAGCTTTGTGTCTAAATAGAGAGCCATCTGAATTGAACTTGATTTTATATAACCATTTGCAGCCATGCAAGTTTTAATCAGGACTTGGAGGAACAAGAGAGTAAGTTCCTTGCTGTTGTAAAGCCTGAAATTCAGCATACATTGCATATCTCCAAGCAGGATATTTATTAGCTTCTCTGAAGGAAGATGGGGATAATGGAACAATAATATGGTGTATATCAAATACTATCTTTGGTTTAAGCTGAATATTATGGCACAAGTAACCATAGGGTGGCGAATGGGTTGGGGTGGTAGGTTAATTGTAGTGGAGTTGTTTGTAGAGGAGATTGGAGGAAGCCATATGTAGCATAAGCAACCAAACACACAAAGATGCTCAAATGATAGTTTTTTTGTTGATATAATTTCTGATAGGGAGAAGTATTATGGATGGGTTTGGAAGGTGAGCAACCATTAAAAGTGTGTCAACCTAGTAATGATGTGGTAGGTTTGCCTCTAATAAAAGAGCTCACATTTTTTTCTAAAAGGTGACGGTGCTTTCATTCAACAATACTGTTTTGGGGAGTATATGGACAAGTAAGACGGTGCAAAGTTCCAGATGAATTTA